ATGAATTAGTCTCTGTACCTAAAAGGGATCAAAACAAAGGTTAAACTTGCAATAGCGCTGGGAATTCCATATAAATAACCTTGGAGATGAAATTTACGTGGAAACAGAGTAGGGGAAAATGCAAGAACGGCCTGGTTTGGTGTCAGGCCGTCCGAATTTCTCGTCAACTCTAACAATAAAATTTTCGCCCCAAATCTACGATGCATGGTAAGTTTGCATACTTCAAAAAGGAACAAAACTTCATGTTTTAAAACAAGACCATTTGTCATGGATTTTGATTTTTTTCTGATATGGTTTCGAATTTAAATGGAAAACCTTTGGTTCAAATCAAGTTCGCGTGATTTAGATTTTAAAGTGGAACTTTAAATCTTCCAAGTGAGACTATCTCTACTGAACTTTCATCATTTTAAAGTGTTGTGGATTTAATACGCACAACCTTTGAACCTCTTCAAGTTGACGTAAATAATTCCGGCTAAATGAAACTTCCGTCATTTGCTTTTAGTTTTCCGTGTTTTAAGTGCTGGTTACAGCAATCTTACGTGTACAGTTCGAAATAAAACATTCTTCTTTCTTTTCTTGTTCCTCCACATCCTGTCAACATCCCGGCTCAAACAAGAAGTTTTCATTTTCGTGATACGGCTCTCTTTGTCTTCAATTTCTCTTGTAATAAAGTTTTCAAGAGGAGACACGCCTTACTTCAAAGTGTTGTTTGTCTGTTTTTTACTGATGTAGCTACTGTTTCGAGCGTTATTCCTAGTTATGAACTCTGTCATCGTGGCAAATCAATTCGAACAGCTGTTTCAGCAGAATATAGGATTATTTTTTTCATAAAGGAATAAGATTTGCGGTTGATTAGAATAATCCGGAATTGACGTGTTTCTTGCCAGCATTAGGTTCGGAAAGCGGTTTTGTAATGAACGCTGGCAAGGGCTTAAAACAAAAACGATGCGCCGGAAAAAAAAACAAAAAAAAAAACGAATAGGATAACAAAAAATAAGCTGGCCTTGGTCTGTCTTTTCTGTTTACTCACAGTTGAAGGTGAAAAAGATGATGTCATTTGCCGTGTTCGCCCGGTATACATGGACAAATTCAAATGGCGGCAAGTTACCTCGTAGTTTTGCAGCAGCCTCTGAAGAAATGTTCCTGACAAAGACTCTTAAAGTAAGATTAGATACAGAGTGAGTGACTGAGTACTAAACTACTGTAGTTCAAATTTCTCAAAAGCTCATTAACACTAACCTAGGTCATTTAGTAAACGAGATTTTTATATCTTTCCATAACCGACCGCAAATCGCACAAATCGCCCCCATGCTCACTGTTCATACCGCCCTGTTCAACCCAATCTACTTCCCGAATGTGTTCATTCCTATGACTTTGTTAACAAGATTCGTCAGTTATGTCTGATTTACATGTCTTTGAATAAGTTATCAAATTGTTGAACATCTAACCTTTCGACTGTAAACTCTTTCCCGTAGATATCCGATATTCGTCTTCTCTTTGTAGCGATTAAAGTGTAGTGTGTCGTTAAGAATTAATCAGTCCCCTGTACTTGGTAATTTTAATTCCGACTGTTTGCCTCATGGGAAGCCAATAGGCTGATGAGGAAAACAGAAACAACGCTAAGCTTTCTTGATGTCACAGGAAGACTTTTTTCGATCCTCTAAAGGATCAACATGTTGCGAATTTTTTATTAAAAGTAATGGTGTCTTTTCTTTGAAGGGGTGTGCTCGTTGCTCTCTGATTGGTAGTCTTCAAAGGTCTTCAAACAATGTTATTGTCTTTTAGGCGTCGACTGTTGGCGAAGTTCCAACGCCTCCGCTAGTTATTTATTTGAGTGTGCAGGGGTCTTAGAACAACATCTTTTTCATTATGTTGTCCAGTTACCAGTTGAGCAAATAAGGATTTAGTAAGTCCTTTAAAGCATTGGACTTCAGTCATCCTCACTGAGACAGTGGCTTTAAGCTACCGAGTGGTTGTCATGGAGCTCATACTATGATTGATGATGGACGGCAATTTTGTGCCGAGTGCCATTTTACCTGTTCCCAATTTATGCCCAGCGAAAATACTGAGAAGGGCCGCCCACACTAAGTGACATTGCGACTCGCCACGCCTCATGTAATACCTCCAAAACAACTTTCTACGACTCATTAAAACTCTCTGCCACCGTCGAACTAATCAGTGAACAAGTTTTACTGGTTTGTCAGACTTTTTAAGGTGATTACTCAGTGCATCCTGTACAACGCACAAAAATCACGTAATCAGGCGAATAAGCGCGCGCGCATTCCGAGACCCCGGTATTACCGGTTTTCATTGTCACACCATCATCAGAACCATTAAACAAATAAAGTCAGGAATCAAAGAGATAAAAATAAGATGGATATCTAAACAGTCTCGCAAAGATTCAGGTTTGTGCAATGTTTTGTGCAGGAGATATTCGAAAAAATGTTTCTCTCAAGTTTATAAGGCTTTGTATGAAGACGCCATGTTGGTGTCCCCCTAGGCGAATAAATCATTTCTTCTATTTACAATAGAGCAATTCCAGATTGAGTATGATAACACCAAAACCAAAACTAATCACAACGACCAAAAAGAAGAAGAAAAATACCGTAAGGAGCCAATGAAAACTCAAAGTAAAAACAAGGCAACTGCCTGAAGTGTGGGAAATCGCGGGTAACCATGTCTTATTTGGGTACAGTTTTGTATCTGGTTGGTTGGGAGAGTAGCACGACTTTTCTTGACCAACTGAAAACCAAAGTTAAGCAAAACCAGTGCAATCGCAGACCCCTTTTGATACTCAATTGAAAACTGCTCTTATCTCCACATAGGTTTACTGGCACTGCTTCTCTTTCGTGTTTGAACTTTTAAGAACATCGTAAGTTTCGAGTGATGCTGATGAATTTGGTTTTCCATTGCTCTTAGCTCCTTGTACGCTCTAAAATCAACAGAAACTCGCCATTAAAGCAGTTTTCACTTAAATTCACTGGGAAAAGAAAAACCAAAGTAATCACTGCAGCCAATCGGAACGAAGGTTGACATCGTCATTTCTCGAGAACTCCAAAAAAAAACAGGAAGAACTTCATGGGGTTAGGCGGGAAAACGAGAGTGACCACATCATGACAAATGAGAAACACCACAGCGTACACTAGTAAGTTATGGATGCGCGCGGGAGGTTGCTAAGCATGAAAGCAGCGTTAGAGTCGCGTGATGCGACACCCGAGAGCGAATCTAGCTTCTTGAGTGCTTTACATACTTCCCAAGTACATGCATAACTCAACAGTGTACGCTGTAGTGTTTACCGTTTGTTTTATAAAATAACGTTGAAACTTACAAATCTTACGTGACCAGAAAAACAGGCGCGCGAAAACTAATCTTTGCACTAGCTCACCTCCCCAGCATACACCCATGGGTGAATGGTAGACACTAAATTGACCAATCAGAGCGCGTGATTTACCTTGGTTATGCTATAATTGGTTTTAGTTTTGAACCTAATTGGTTGAAAAGGTAGGGGGAGTTTTCTGGACCAATCGCAAAACGAGGTTAAGTAAACCAAAGTAATCATAAATTACTTTCGACACTCAATTGAAACTTGCTCTGTCACGCTTTGTTGAAGGCGCCGGATGGCTCGTAACAAAATTTCAGCTTTAAGGTTGTTTTGCCTGCGAGGCGCCTATGCTCGCGAACTGACCTGAAGCGTTAGCGAACTGGTCCTATGCAAACGACTCGTGCGTGAAACAACGGATTACCGAGTTGCCCGCCCTTATTTCTCCCATTTAAACTTAAATGATTGAAAAGCAACAACGACAAGGACGGTACTTCATATTTCGTCCGTACAAAAATACCTTTATTTTCGAGCAGCCAAAAACTGTACGCATACTGCTGCGTTCTTAAAACAAAGCTGAAAATATACAGACCGATGCAGAGAAAACTCCAGTTGCTCTATTTACACCAAACAACTCAATAATACAAAACTTTGAGCTACGAAGAAGAGAACCAAGTGCTCCTCTTTCTTATGCAACCAAGTATTTGATGAGGTACCGGTAAGAGGACTTTAGCAAACATAGTAGCAGAAGTAGTTCGATCATAACGTTTGCATTTCAAATGTCACCAGTTTTTTCCTAGGAATATATTTACAATAGTTAAGAAGTATTTCCCCAGCCGGTTACCCCCTCATCACTTTGGCAAGACGTTTTCAGGACTTAAAGTTTCTTTGCATCTGTTGTGTGACTCGTGACGCAACCATGTGTGTTGCGTGACTACTCAAGTAACGGCTGCATAAGAAACTGTACTAAAATTGGGAATGCATACTGTAACTAGCTTAATGCGGTGCGCTATTGTTCACTCGAAAACCTAATATCTGTATGTATTACAAAACAACTGTGAAAAAGAAATTTCCTAAAATAAGATGCACTAAAAACTCATAATAACGCGTTGTGGAAATCCAACGATCACACAGAAAACGTACCGACCACAAGTAATCTGTTTGAGTAGGACATTCATGAAAGGCACTACTTCAAGATAGATACAAATTTGCCTTTTACAGCCTGCAAAAGATAATGCCTGAAGACGATTGGAAGTACATAGAAAAAAGCTACGATTCACATCGGAGGTGATT